TGGTACAATAGATAAGTGTGATGGGTGGGTGGGTGGGTGGACTGGGCAGTTGGTTCAACTTACTCCTGGATCTCCTACCTCTGTACACTGGCCAGGGGCGGGCGGAGGCGGGCTGCTCTGCATTCCCATTCCCATCAAGGAGGCTTCTTTGGTCCTTTCTCAAAGAACAACAGATCCCCATGGGTTGGGGAGGGCCATGGAGCCTCCCAGAAGGCAACGTTCAAGACCCAAAGCAGGTGATGAAGGAAACTGTGATGATCTGGGGAAGAGTCTCCAGGCAGAGGAAACAGCCAGTGCAAAGGTCCTGAGGCAGGAGTGGGTGCCATGGAGGTACCCGGATTTCCCTTCTCACCTCCTTCTCTTTCTGCCTTTGGTCCCAGGATTTCAAAGAAATTCTGGGCAGGCCTCAAGGGTTGCACTCTCTCTATTTCTATAATAGCAATCGGGACTCCCAGGTAAGGAGGGGAATGAACTGACGCCGCCTCCCCGCCCCCCCCTCCTTTGACCTCAGGGACCAAGCATAGAGGGCTGGTGTTTAAAGCCAAGCCAGAGGGCCTGTGGTCTGGGCTGCCTGGCCAAGCCCCGGATCCCAGCACGTGGAGAAGTTAGACCTAACGGCACTTGTAGAAGCTCACGATGACCCACCTGGGGAAGCTCCAGACCCAGGCATTCATTTCAGCCTGTCCTCCCGGAACCAGGAGATCGTTCAAGTTCAGGTAGGCCTCCTCCTTGTCACACTTACCACCAACACACTAGCAAGGAGTCGCCCACGAGGCTACCGCTGGGTTGGCAACACTGGCCGAAGTCACTTGACTTCTCTAGGCCTTGGGTTCAGCCAGCCTGCAAAAATGGGACAGTGGCGTGAGAGGAGCCAGAACAGCACATGAGTTTAAGGATGGAACCCCCCCTCCCCCCCGCCACTGTTCAACCTTGCAGCTAAGGTTATCGAGTCAGCTGTACAGCCTCAGACAGTCTCCTGGTTGCAGTGAACAGGACAGTTAAACTCGTCACCGTTGTGGAGTTTGCAGTGGAGCCGGGGAGGCACACAGTACACAATACAAGGTAAAAAACATATCTGGAGGCGGAGGGCAGACTTGCAGAGACTTAAACAGTGCTAGGGCAAGGACAGAGCTGGCTCAGTGTTACCATGTTAAACAGGGCTGACCGGGAAAGCCTCACCGAGACCGCATGGTGAGGGAACCGGCACGTAGATACCCTGTGCAAAGGCTCTTGTGTCTGAAGAGCCCCGGGAGGAAGAAGAGGAAGAAGAGGAGGGGGGAGGAGCAGGAGGCTGCTGGGCAGAGGGAGGGAGGGAGAGACGGAGGAGGAGGGCAGGAGGACAGGTCGTGGGGTGCAGGGCTTTGTGGGCCCTAGGGAGGACTTGGCTTTTACCCCAAAGCAGACGGGAGCCCGGGAGGGTTTAGAGCATTGGAGATACAGGATCTGATTTGTATTGTTTCAAACTTGACGTAGTAACATTAAAGAATTCTATCCACTTTCCTGAGGACTTATGATGTCCAGACATCCCAGTGTCTGGTAACAGGTCCCAACTTCGTTTAATCTTCAGAAGAACCCTTGAAAACAGTGGCTATTCTGCCCTCATTTCCATTCACAGATGAATTGACTGGGAGGCTCATCGCCATGGGCTCTTTTTTCTGTCCCTCCCAGGTAGAGAGCCCCTGGAGTCTGGGAGATGTGAAAGGCTTCATCCTGACGGTGGTAGAGGTAGACTGGGTGCCCCGGGACCCTCTTTTCTCCTCGACGCCACAGTCCTCAAATCAGGCCCCCCAGAGTCTCCTACACGGGTCTCACGCCATGGCGGCCTCTGAGCCCAACGCAGCCCATAAACGGCTTCTGTTTTTGCCAACAGTGTTAAACTGTGAGTGATCTGCCATTATTTAAGAGCCAGGAGTTTTGTCAACATTCCTGATCTCTGCTTTAGTCCTTTGTCTCTGGCCCTGCAGCCTGTGGAGTTTTGAGAGCACATTCGAGCATCTGATGCCTGTCCTTCCCCTCCCTGAAGTCTCTTCACCCCTGCCTGAGGAGGCTTAGGGTCGCTCTGGAGCCCCAGGCCTGTTCCCCATCCTGGGGCTGCCTGGGCCCGCTCCACCCCGACCTCAGGGTGTCCCTCGGTGACGCGGGCACCAGCCGCCCGTGCCCTGACGTCCAGGGCGCCCGTGCCTCATCTCCTCAGCTCCGCATCCCGTCCAACCTGACCCTGCTGCCCGGACACCTGTACAGTGATGGCCGAGGCCCTGGCCAAAGAGGAGGCCATGCTGGCCAAAGTGCCCTCATTGAGGTGGCCAGAGTGCCCTGCCGGGCCGCGCAGCCCCGGGACCGCGGCGGGCGGAGGCGCGGGCCCGGAGGGGCAGCCTGGCGGGGTCTGGGGAACTGGCCTTCCTGTCTTCGGGACAAGGTCCACGTGCCAGCTCCGGGGCGGGAGGGTGGCTCCGCCAGGCCCGCCCCAGTTTTTTTTTTTTTTTTTTAACAAATCGAAGGTTTGCGAAAACCCCACATCAAACGGCACCGCTTTTCCAACAGCATTTGCTGACTTTGTGTCTCGTTTTGGTAATTCTCGTACTATTCCAAACATTTCCATTATCATTGTATACTTCTGGTGGCTCATGGGAAGAGGGCAAACTATTAACAGTACCGGGAATTTGGAAGTTGTTTCCAACCCTCATGGATGACGCTGAGAGAGAGAGAGGGAAACCAAGAAACGGACGCCTTAAAAAAAAATTTTTTTTTAATGTTATTTATTTTTGAGAGAGTGAGCGAGCGGGGGAGAGGCGGAGAGGGGGACAGATGATCTGAGGCGGACTCGGCACTGACCGCAGAGAGCCCAGTGCGGGGCTCAGACTCACGAACCTTGAGATCATGACCTGAGCCGAGGTTGGACACTTCAACCAACAGAGTCACCCAGGCGCCCCTTAAGAAACAGACTTCGG